CGCCGTGTGATCTTTTTTCATCGCAGATGCAGATGATTGTGGAAATGCCTTTATTATTGCATTGAATTTAAAGTGATTTTGCATTGAAAATGATTGTCGTAGTCGCTGTGGGTGGGCGGGCCACCGGTAGGGCCGCGGTGCGAGGCCTACTACCGTCGCGTCGCGTCGGGCGGGGCGCGGAGGGCCATGCTTTGATGTTTAATAGAAGCGTGGTGTTGTTGCCAACTCGTTCCCCTACCTCCACCCCAGGGCCGTAAGGGTTTCCTTGGTACCCTCCCCGTGTCCCGGGGGGAGGGGAGGGGGAAGAGCTCGTGCAGTGCAGTAGGGGTAGGGCGCGTGGAGCCATACAGTTAGGTTGCAGTACACTCTCAATCTGGGTGTGCAGTGTCCTACACAGGCGACTTTATTCAACTACCTACCGGGTAGCAAATGACTGACTATAAGGTCTCCTTGCCCACCCGCTGTGTGTGTGTGTGGAGGGGAGAGGGGAGCCCCCACCCACTCAACTGATTCCGCCACGACGGCGACACGCTTCCTGAGTCTCGACCAGGATTAATGTTTGGCGACTCTCCTCGGAGATGAGGTGCGAATGCCTCTAAACACGTCGAGTCCGAGGAGAAAAACATTCCATCCCGGTTGTAAAAGGGAGTCCTCGGAGGAATCTGCTTCAAATTGAGAATAAAGACCACATTTGATGACTCGCGAATGACAGCAGCAGGGCCAGAGTAGAGCGAGGGCGAAAACCTATCGGCGTCGGTATAGGGAAGCAGTGACAAAAATTCCACTCAATCACTACCGCCACCTTCAGTCGCCTAATTCGATTACCACCGGACTGTTTTGTTCGGTCCGTCCCGCCGGTCTCGACCCCGAGCGCCCCGAGCTTCTGTTTTGATGTCCTCTGTCGTGTCGCGCCTGCCCCGGCCCAGGACCCGGCCCAGCCCCTCGCCGCGCAGGGCTTCGGTCCGCTCGATCTGCCCTCCCGCCGCCGCGCTTGCCGTTCGCGCCCCCTGCCTGCGCCTGCCTGCTTACGTAAACACCGGGCTGGCACCCGCATCATGCCATGCCAAACCCCGCCCCGCCCCGCCCCGCCCTCACTAAGTGGCTCGGCACGGCTTGTTGACCTGCCTAGTCCGTGTGCCGCTGTGACAGCGGAGGCGTCGTGGCGGGTCGCGGTGGGCTCCGCAGTGAGCCCCGGCAGCAAGCAGCAGGAAGCCCCCGCCGTGCACAATACAGACAGCGCGGAGACGTGGCGATGGGCGCGGGGCGGGGCGGGGCGGGGGCGTCTAGGGTGGGGGCGGGGCGCGGTCCGAGCCGGCGCAGGGCCGCGCAGGCACAGAGCATTGTGGATAACCAGTTTCAACCGGCCGCAAAGGTTTTCGTGAATGTACTTTATACAGACGAGCCGCCGGAGGGCGGGGCTCGGGCCCAGAGCATCCTTGGGCATGGGCACGGCATGCCGCAGAGGCAGGGCCTGGCCGACCGCAGCAGAGTCGACTACGTTGGCGTTCACTGCCTGCAAAACGAAGCTGCTGCCAAACAAAGCCGGAGCAAACTGCACTACTGCCACGGGCGGTTAGCGCCTGTGGGGTAGGCAATAGTGGCTGCGGCGCGCGCGGGTGTCGGGCGGGACTGCCCACCCCACCGGCGCTCAGAGGCTCCGCGGAGCGCTGCCGGGGAGAGTCGCGGAGAGCGGCTGCGGCGTGGCGGGCTGGAGGTTGCGTTCTTCTTCTTTAATGTCAGTCTATTTTCTACCGAAATTTGTGGCTGCGAAATCTAAGTGGAATGTAATTCATCAATAAGAAACAAAAGAAACAACTGCGTCAAATAGGGTACGCGCAGTGCAATTTGTTCATGGTGACGTTTAGTTTCCTCGGTTTCTTATTGTACAACGTTCTCAACATTTTGAAATAACTAAATTAAATGCGCTTAAAGTGTTTAACAGAGGGCGTTCCACGCGCGCCGCTTTGGCTCGTGGCACAGGGGGTCGGGGGAAGGGGGCGCCCTCTCTTCTCGTGGGGGTCGGTGAGGAGGGGGGGGGGGCGGAGGGCCACGGTCAGGGCCATCCCTCTCCCATCCCCTCCCGGCCAGCGGGTGGTTGGTGCGCCCTTCCCCGCGGGCGGCCGAGGGGCCTGCTAGGAGACGCGGGTGCCGTGGTGCCGCACTGTAGATGTAGACCTCATTGCCTCGGTCGGGCGTATTTCACGAGCAGGACTATCATGCCAGCTAGGGGTGGGAACGTTCGGCCAACAAATAGGCGGGGTTCACTAATTCACGTTCTGTTGAATTGTATGAAAATGTTTTTGTATTGCATGTAAATTGCTCCTTTACATCGATCGAGTTTTACTACAGTAGTTAGAGCAGGTTGGACCCTCCACTCAAAGACGTGTTTGAATGCGCAAATGAAGGCCTCCGTGGCTGGGACAGGGGCAGCGTGGCGTGGGTTGGTTGGTCGGCGGCCTTGGCGCAGTGAAAGTGTGCAGTCAATCCTCGCGGCCCTGCGAACCTCTGGGGACCGCGTTGGCGAAAGCCTTGTTTCCTTCCTCTTCGTCGGAGCCTGCCACCAATCTAGGCGGTTGCGAATCAGACTCACCCTCGTGGAAAATGGAAAAAGAGCAGAGGCAGACGGCGAGGCGGGGTGGGGGTAGCAGGAGGACTGTGCTGCCAGAGTCGGCTCGGGCTTCAACTGGAAACTGCGCTGACACATGTGAATCTTAACCTACGATAATTTTATCAGTGAGAAATGTGATTTCTCTTTCTCCACTAACACACCCAAAAAACATTGCTCAAACCCAAAATCGTGGCGCGGTATTATCCTTTCAAAGTACCACATGCCGATACGATAAGTGCGAAGAGGGAGACGAGCGAGCACACCCACTCACTCCCTCCCCCTTAAAAACGGATCTCCTGGCTCTGTAGGAGACCGGCCCAGGCGCCGTGCTGCTGATGTTCTGCTATCGATTGCAAGCCGCGCGGCCCCGTTCTGCTACTCCTACCCGCCCCCAGCCCGCGCGGGGCTCAGGGTACCTTCCAGAGGGGGGAGACCTTGGGTGACGTGCGTGGTCGAGAGAGTGCGGGGGCGCGGGGGGAAAGGGGGGGGGTCAGGGCTCGAGGGGATGGGGGATTTGGGGCGGACCCCGCACTGGAGCACAAGGTCGCGGGATACACCCACAGCCAAAACCAAACGGGGACCTGGAAAACGGCGACGTAAACTGCTGAATCTTTGCAGAGAATAAGCGAAGCTGCAACGCCACTTCCAACTTGACGTTCGCATGGATCCTCATCCGCGTGAGGTCCCCTGGAAGATAGCATCCCCGCCCCTCGAGCCGGCATCCATGACCTTTACGGCGGACCCCGCGGGTCCCGGGCGCTGGTGGACCCCTGCCCCACCCTGAGCCGGCGTGTGCTGGTGAGAGGGAGAGTGCTCGGCCCTCCCGCGGCCCGTCCCGCGTCCCGCTCCCACACCAGCTCCTCCCGCCCCAGGTCTGCTAGGCGGGGCGGGCGGGGCGCGTCTATTTTGATCGTCAGCTGCTGAGTGTTATCTTTGTCCGTCGGTTTTTGTTCCGCCCGCCCAGGGCCCCGCCCAGCCCAGCCCAGGGCCGCCCCCGCCGCGAGCCAGCCGGTGCCAACCCAGCGCAACGCGTCGGGCGAGGGCGGCGCGAGGCGGCAGCCCTCTCGGTGCGAACCCATGGTCCCGTTGGACGGCGAGCTCTGGATCCTCCTCCCTACGTGCCGGGGATGCGGTTCCAAGTCCCCTGATTACGGAAAGGGAGTGCGGGGTGTAGTGCAACCCGCGGCACTTTGGTCTGGGGAGTCCCTGACCATCGGCTAGTAAAAGGCGAGCAAAATTCAATCTGAAATGCATTTGAGTAAAGACTCTGCCTGTGCAGCTAACGACCTCCTGTCGCCGGCGCGGCCCACGACCTCACACTTATTATTGTCGGGGAATGGCATGCGGCCGTATCGGTGACGAGCCACGTGACGCCCGGTGTCACCATTGTGTTCAGCTCCCCGTCTCTTTTTATTTTCCCCTTCGGCATCTCTCTCCGTCACACTCGCACACCACACCCGGCTCGCCTGCAGCTCTCTCTCTCCCTCCCTCTGCCTGGCCTCCTCCCCCGTCGCACTAATGATGTCCACGCTGCGCCAGGCGTCAAAACTCACTAAAAATACATGTTGAAATAGTTGCTCTGCGTTCAAGTTGTTGTACAGTGTGAAGCTGGGAAATGCGCCCGTGTGCCTTCCGGCCGCATGCGTCTTGCAGAATGAGTTCCAATTGGATGGTAACACAAGTCGCGTTTGTGCGCCGCTGTTGTGTGGGAGGGACCTGCTCACAGTCCTGCTCCACGGCGTGGCCGGCCCGATGCGCTCTTCCCTGACCTTCAAAGACCTTCGGGCAGGCCCTGCCGCCCTAGCCCGCCAGCCAACGCTCGCCACGGTCGGTCCCGAGGGCAGCACTAACAGTCTCAAGTGGCCTGCCGGTGGCTGGGCTGGCCCGGGCCAGGCCTTCCATGCATAACCATCTGCGGGGTGGCTGATGGCTGTGGGGGTGGGGCAGCGCCGGCCACCGGCCACCTAGCCAGGGTGCGACTCAACAGCCAACTCCGTGCATACTTTGGTGTATGTTCTTTGAAAGGGCAGGAGGGCTTCTATCATGCTTGCCCAGAGCCCTGGAGCGAGCGAGCATCAATACTTTTCTCGTATGCGTCCGAAAGGACAGGCGCGGGTGAAATGATCGACCGGAACCGGAACGTAGCCTTCTCAGCCCCACTTCTCGTTTTCGAACGCAAACGAGCATTGCGTTGCGGGGCTCTGTTCTTGCCTGTCCGCTGTTCTGGAGGGGGGGGGGGGTCGAGAAGGAAGGGGACGGGTGAGGAGGTCAAGACGGTCAAGACCGTCAAGACTTCGCGTCTCCCTCGGTCTGTCGCCCTCGCCCTCGCCATTGTTGGATGTTTAGCCATTTTTTACCACAGCGGCTACAATCGTAAATATTTTTGTTGCAGGAATTCAAATTTGAGGATCGGGGATCTCAACGTTCCGTTCCTGAGGTGAGTCAATCATCTAGACACGACCGAGACACGTTTCACCAGCCGGGCGGTGTGCGCCTTGCATCTCTTGTAGTAGTGCTGCCACGCAGACAGACGTGCGGGCGGGCCTGCCTTCCTGCACGGGGCTTTCAGCAGTGGTCATCACTACAAATTGAGCACGGTGCGGCATGGTGCCAGCTACACTCAATGACTTTGCACACAAATTTTGCACTCTTTTATTTTGTTTTACCAGCCCCAGTCGAACTTATGATTTATTTATTTTTATTTAATCCCTGTTATTTCTGTTTGTTTTATCACACCGACCTGCATGCGCACACATGGACTTCGTCGTTTCTACTTTGTCCTCGGAACGGATTTCACCCCACGCTCACCGCTGCAGCGGAGGCGGCGAGAACGCGGGCGTTGCTGCGGCCCCCAAACCTGCTCCCTCTAAACCCTCCCCCACT